ATGGGTTGGGTACCTGGTTATAAGTCTATGGTGAACTCGACCTCTCTGTCCACTGGTAGACCGGGCAGTTCATCTGGAAATACGTCTGCAAAGTCTCAGACTACTGGAATCTCTTGGATCCAAACTTCTTTCTTGGGTTTACCTAGTTAGAGAAAATACAAGATTAAGGCACTGGGAATTAAGAAAACTTGCCATCAGGGAAAATCAGTACTGAATGATTTTATTAACTTGTAAATGGCTCCTCGTTGGGAGATTAATACAATCTTTTTGTTAAAGCAGTCTATGGTGGCATGATACGCCGCTAGCTAATCCATTCCTAGGATTACATCAAAATCCCCCGTGTCTAACCCTATCATTCCTATCTGCTATCTCCACGGCACATGCCCTGTAGATAACCTCTCCTAGCAATGTCTCCCTCCCAGCGGTAGATACAAGCAACAATGAATCAAGTCTACCAGGTGATACACAAATTTTGGAAGCAAGAACATGTGAAACAAAAGAATGTGATGCACTAGTATCAAACAAAACATGAGCAATGTGGCCAGATATAGTATACATACCATGTACCACGTCTGGGTCTGCGTCGGCATCCATCTGGGTGAGGTTGTAAACTCTGCCCTGGATTGGAGGCCTTCTTTGATTCTGGTTCCTCGGGCATTCCCTTGTATAGTGCTGGGCACTGCCGCATATGCGACAGGTGTTGCTGAGGCGGTAGCAGGGTCGGTCCCCGTAATCCCTGCCGCAGTGCTGGCAGATCTTCCCACGTGCTGCCCCCGTAGCCTGAGGAGGGGCCTGGATGGCGGGTCTGGGCCTCTTACTGGGTTGGATAGGCGCGGTAGGTGCTGGCCTACGGAGCGGGGCTGAGGGTCGGGAACTCCCCGCTAGCTGAGGGTGGGTGTCGAAGCTCCTTTCTATGATCTGCGCCTTTGCTAGGACTGCTGAATATGTCTCGAGCTCCATTACCAGTAAGTGCTGTCTGATCTCCGAGCGGAGACCCCACTGGAATTTCCTGGCCTTTCGGCCCTCATCCATCAATGTCTCTGGGGCATATCGGCCCAGCTCCAGGAACTTACGGGCATACTCCGACACTGTCATGTTTCCCTGGACCAATTGAGCAAACTCCATTTCCTTCAGGTGTTGAATGTGTTTAGGGAGATACTCCGCGTGGAAGGCCGCTAAGAACTGCTCCCAAGTAGCTGGTGTAGGCAGGGTGGTCCGCTTGAGCTCCCACCAGCGTACTGCTTCCCCTACCAGTATGTAGGAGGCAATGGCAGCCCTCTGCTCAGGAACTACTCCCAATGTCTCGAAAGCTCTCTCAGTCTTTGCCAGCCAGTATTGGGCCTCTTCAAAAGAGGATCCCCCTGCAAAAGTAGAAGGGTTCAGTCTTCTGTACCTCTCTATGAAGCCGGGGTCGATCAAGGAAGGAGCGGAGTCCCGGGGTAGAGAGACTGGGGCCGGCTGAGGGTGAACTAGGGGGCCCTGTGGTGGCACTTGCTGATGTGGTGGGGGTACTAGAATGTGCTGTGGCGGTGTCTGGTGGTACCGTGGCTGTGGTATCGGGTCGTACCGCGGCTGTGGTGCCGGGTGGTACTGTGGAGGAGCAGGCTCCTGCCGGGGTGGCTCGGGATCAGCCTGCTGTAGCGGGGGCTCAACCTGCGATAGCGGAGGAGGTCCGGGTAACTCCCTTTTCTCCTCTCGCCTTTGCTGGGTAGCTACGAGAGCTTCCACCATATCAAATAGTCTGTTTAAATCCTCCCGAAGCGAATTATCTTGGGCCACTCGGATTAGTGGGGGCCTTCCTCTCCTCATTTCTGTGTACCTGCATTCACAAGGAATGGTTGAGTAAACGATCTATCGGTGAGTATTTCTCTAAGGCACTATTGTGTAAGGGATGGATCCGAGGAAACGCGGCTCTGATACCAACTGCAATGGCCCCGGAATTTTAAAATGAAATATGTGTATTAAAAAGGTCAAATGCGGAAGCGTAATAAAAATTTTGATTAACATCCCTTACACTAAAACCAAAAACGTGCTCAAAGTATAAAAGAACAAACTAACTAAAAGAGAAACCCGAAAATAAAAGCTATAAATATAACTACGGAGTCTTCAGGCGTCCCCTTCGCCGTCTTCCTGCGGAACAGGCTCGGGAACAATGTCTTCCTGATATGAAATGATTAAATAAGGAATGAGCTACACCAGCCCAGTAAAGAGATCACACTATCTCACCGTCACGGAGGTAAAGGTGGGTAGAAAACACAAAAAGACCAATGGAGCATAATTTACAACAAATTCTTTTATCAATAATAAAATTCTTTACTATCCACTTATCTCGGTGAAATTTATAAAACAATATACGAAAGCAATAACATTATCATCATCATGAAATCATATGAGCTGTATAACATAATACTTATCACGCCTTTTACAATTCAATCATTACACAACATATTTTTCTTCATTTACCAGCCTACTAGTATCCATGGGGATCCATAGGGGTCCCCTACCTGTGAACCCTTAACACTTGTAATCAGATTCCAGGGCCGTCCCCATACCCCGTCCGGTATGGGCGCCAAAACTATAAACCTCAATACCCCGTCCGGTATGAGGGTGAAACGAGCCGTCCCCATACCCCATACCCCGTTTGGTATGGGCGCCAAAACTATAAACCTCAATACTCCGTCCGGTATGAGGGTGAAATGGGCCGTCCCCATACCCCGTCCGGTATGAGAGACCACAGTCCCGGTAGGGTTCCTACGGACCCGGTCCGTCCACCATCTCCCAGGATATCTAGTCAGGCTGACCACATTATACAATTATCAATTTTCATAACCTTTCATCCCCCTTTTTCCTCAGTCAGCATCATCAAATCACACACAAACATGCAAACCGGTAGTTCACGCCAACAAGACAACACACAACATCGGGTTCTCAGTCATTCAGTCTATAATCAATGAAACAGTGATACATGCACACAAAACTATGAAATAAAAACATCAGACATCATACTGCATTTAAAACTGTAAAATAGAACAAACAACAACTGACCGACAAATACACCAGACTCGAGCTCCATTAGCAACCTCAAACAATTTCACACAGCTATTGATTCATGAAATACCATTTTATTATTTATTGCACTTTAATACCGTGATAGGAAATAGGGTGAGGAATCCTTATTTATTTCGGGGTCCGAATACGGCTCTAAAGTGCGCCTACAGGCTGTCCCTAATTTTTCCTGAATTTTTTCTGGGGAACTAAAACGCACTATTGGTACCTGCACGTGTCCCAAAAATTCCAAATTAGATCCAGGGCCCCTTTTGGCCAATATCACAATTCCGGCACGGCGGCTCCGCCATGCTCCGGCGACGGCGGCGATTCGCCTCGTGTTGGCCGTTTTCGGCCGTTTCCGGCCGAATTCGACCACACTTGCATCGGTCCCTGCGATAAAACAACCCTAGGGCCCTCGGGGGGCCAAAAAATACGAAAAACCGAAGCTTACCGGCGGCGGTGCTCTCGGGTGCGGCGGCTCTCCGGCGAGGTTCGTGTTTTGGTGATTTGGCTCCGATCAACCTGTAGAGGAAAGAATGGTGATCACGGTGATATAAAAATTGTATCAAACGGAGGCCGGGAAGGGCCTCATCGGAGGCAAAAACCGAGGAGGGGCGCGGCGGCGCTGCTGGGTTTCGGCCGTGTTTTCCAGCCGTTTGGCCGGGATTTTGGCTCCGATTTGGCCACAGGGGAACTCAGCATTGAAAAACGAGCCAGATGTATGAAATTTATCTCGATCGACGGTCGAAAAACTCCCCGATGCGGCGGCGGGTGGCGGCGGCCGGCTCCTCCGGCGTCTGGTTCGTCTTGTCCGGCGATGGCAGGCGGCTAGGGTTTTTGTGGTCAGGTGTGGGGGTTTTATTTATACCCTTTTGCCTTTTGATCACAGTCGTCCATTTTGATTAAATCTGGGCCATCCCTGCTTGATTGAATCTGGGCCGTCCGTGCGCGTGCATCTGGGCCGTCCGTGCGCTTGCATCTGGGCCGTCCGTGCGCACGCTTGATCTGGGCCGTCTGTGTGCGCGGGGAGGCATCTGGGCCGTCCGATCGCACGCACGCGGATCGCCCACGTGGCCCTTTCCCGGGTCGACGTGGTCTTGCCACGCGGCAGGTCCTAGTTGGCCAGGACTGCTGACTGGGCCGCTGACGTGACTACTGACGGGACGCAATTTTTCTAAATCGCGTTTTGACCCCCTGTTTCCGATTTTATTTTCAAAAATACCTCAAGAATCCTAATTTTCACCTCTTTTTCCCAAAATCAATTTCAATTAAATCCAAATAATATTTTTACCCAATTTTATAATTATTGTTATTTTTATTTTTATTAACTTAAATTAAAATAAACTAAATAAATAAAATAAATAAATAATAAAAAATAAAATAAAATAAAAAATACAATTAATGATAATAACAATAAAATTCTAAAATTGTTGGGCGTTACATTAACAATATATTTCTAATATAAAACTTGGTATTACATAAAATTTAACACATAATTACAGTCTTTTCCCGTCAATAATTTAAGAGACAGAAAGACAAGAAAATAATAGTTTTGAGAAAACCATATTTAAGCTTGCTTACATGCTTAAATTGGAGTTCAAACTACTATTGAACAGTTTTCAAGTTCCAGAACTTTTCCTTGTCCTACCCAGTTGCTCTAACAAAGACAAAGAGCAGGATGGTTCGTTTAGACCAGAAGTAAAATTAAAAATAAAGATATGGATCCTCTGCAGCATTTGTCTTCTCTTTTTTCTTAATCTTGATATAAATAATAGTAAAAACATTAAGTTTTTCTTTTTCTTCTCTATCAGAACAATTCAAATATTTGGGAGACTGATCCATGTCTATGGTCTAATGTTGGAACCATGGAGCAGTTATTTTAAGTCGGCTCTATACAGGTCAGGGATATATACAAACATAGCAGTTATTTCGTTGTAGATGATGGAACACCATTTGACAAACTCTTAAATTCACCAGGTGAAAGATAGCCGGACCAATTGAGAGAAACCAAAAAAAAAAAAAAATAGGAGAGAGACTGATGTCAGTACTCTCCCTCTATCAGTGCCTCTGTTGGCGTCTTCTCTAGGATTTTAGATCAACAAAAATAATAGAAATGTCATCAGCACTATTTCTGGCATAAGCAATTTCCGCGAGATTATCAGCTACTGCTTGTCCTGGACAAAAAGTCATCAGTAATCATGGACCTGCACAGTCTTCTCAAAAGGAGGTGAGCCATCTCTCCAAGTTCCTCCTTTTTTATAACACCCTAAACTCCATCACTTGCCAAAATCAAACGCTTATCCTCATCGGTCCTTATCATGAATGTAGTCTCAGCACTGGAATTATTCACAGCCTCAAATACCAGTCACCTGAACCATACACAATTAGTAGTAGGAACCAAAAGAAAGATGTATGCGTTTGATCCATAACCTATAAGAAAATATTTATCAAATTTATGGCTTCTGTTCTTGACCTCACATCTGCTATGTTCAGGTGTCCGGAATCATGAAATTTCTTAAATTTTAGTGTATTAGAAAATAAATAATTAGAGTCTTTTCTATCAGCCTTTTAGTTTTTAAAATAATTGGTCCAATTAAGATAATGTTAATGTGTTAAACAGGCCAAAATGAATATAACTTCCCAAAAAAGGTTAAATAATGAGTTGCAATCTGATTTTCTTAGTAGTTAAGCTCATAGGATGACTGACATTATTCAAGTCTTATTTTTTTGGTGAAAAAATTGACTTCTAACTCTATTATTAGAACTCTATTATTAGGTTTTAAATAGATATTGAAAAGTAAAAATGGAATAAAACATTTTGCCAAAAAAGATAACAAAAAATGCTCTCTCTTAATGACATTTTGCTTACCGAGAAAGGCAGGTGCCCCCGTGCCTGGATGATGATCGTTCGACAAAAAAAGTGAGAATAAGGGAAGGACCCGATCGCCTGGCTCCGGAGGGTGAGGAGGTAAGTGAACAGAATTTGGACGAGAACATGGAGGAGGCTAGTGACATAGAACTGACAAAGTCAAAGGATGGTGATCGGGTGGAATATGAACAGCAAAGAACGGGTCTTTATGGATGCTGGGAATGAAACTGTGAATCGTTCAAGGACAAACTTACTAATGTAAAGCCAATGGAGAAGAAGCCAGATGACTTTGAAATCAAGGATGATGACGTGACCCTGGTTACGGATGGTATTTTCTGACGGTGGCTTTCTCGAATAGAGTCCATAATTACTTGACTCAATCCATGAGGAACTCGGCGGTCATCCGTTTGCTGGGCAGAGCCATTGGCTACCGCCCTCGCCTCAACCATCTCCAGAGCATGTGGCAACCTGCAGCAACCTTTCAACTGATTGATCTGGAAAATAATTTCTACCTGGCAAATTTTAATGATCCAAATGATTATACACATACTTACGGGGGTCCATGGATCATCTACACGCACTACCTGATAGTGCAACCATGGATAGCATCCTTCTTAGTTGAGAAAGCCAGAGTCACGTCAGTGGTTGCTTGGGTCTGGTTTCCGGGTTTGCCCATCCAATATTACCACAAAAGCGTGTTGAGAGCCATCACTAAGGCAATCGGCACGATGGTGAGGATCGACTATAATACGGAATCGACGGAGCGGAGGAAGTTTGCGCGTTTGGTTGTCTCAGTGGACCTCACCAAACCCTTGATCTCTAAAATCGGGATCGAGGGGCATCTTTAGAGGGTGGAGTATGAAGGGCTGCCAACAATCTGCTTTGAGTGTGGATGTTATGGCCACCTTCGTGAACAATGCCCTAGGAAGTCTAGGGAGATCACTGCTGATGGGAAGAGTCGACCTGAAGGAAATACCCAGATTGTTCCGCCACAGCCGGTGCCACAAGGGGAAATATTTGGGTCGTGGATGCAAGTGGTGTATCGGGGAAGGAGGAATGATAGGAAAAGAAACGGCCCCGCCAACAAGGATGGTTCCATTACAATCGACCATAACGGATCAGGGTAGTGTTTTGATTTGATTACAAAGATAGGGGAAGGGGATTCGATCAACACCGGATTGCAAGTGGATTTGCGGGGAAAATCAATTTTGGGTGTTATTGCAAGAGAGCACAGGAAGGGAAAGGCGATTATTACAGGGGGGATGTTGGGAGATGATGAACAGGGCACTAATGTGCGTGATAAATTAAGAGAAACTGGAACCGGGCTGGGTCGGGTTGGGGAAAGCGAGCAGGGACCCAGTATAATACCTGTTGAGCTGGCCCAGGAGAGGAAACAACTAATGAGGCTCAACGTGGACGGCTCGCGATAGTAAGGCCCAGTGGAGAA